GAACAAGTCTTGGGCCTGGTGGTAAGCGACACGCCTGTCCATAACAGTTGCAATGCCACTCAGAGATCTGAGGGGCACTGTACTGGGTAAGTTGACAAGTCCCATGTGCCTGTAATTTCACCAGCACCCTTAAAAACGGAACGCAGTAATGATCACATTACTGCTTGCCGGCAGAAATAGGTAAGGACGAACTCTTTCTCAAGGAGCAGTGGTGCTACAAAAATTTTAATTATATTATGTTATTTTTTTGTTAATTTGTAACTACGACCAATCATTATCAAGATTTCATAGTGTTACATATTACTGAATATGTGAGTTTTAGCAACAGCGGTTCTAATAGTAATCGACGCTTAAGGCAATTCAGTATTTTATAAATATACCTGTATATTTCCTTCTCCCTTGGATACAGGTACAAGTGTTCTCAGTGCGACAAGGGCTACCGGTCGCGGGGCGAGCTCCGCGACCACGTCAACTATCAGCATATGGGCAAAACGCAGCACAAATGCCCAGTCTGTAGCAAGGTAATTGAAACGCCTACGCACACGCACACGAACACACACACACACACAAACACACATACACAAACACGCACACACGCGCGCGCGCGTGCACACACACACGCACACACACATACACACACACACGCACACGCGCACACATATCTATTATCTTCAAATTTGAATGAGACCACCCAGAGTAATCGCATACACACCCCCAAATTAATAGTCGAATTGGATACCTCCTTTTCCTTAAAGACGGTTAAAAAAGAGTACCCGTGATCGTCTTTTATTTCTTACATAAGTAGGTCACTTTCAGCTGCCCCTCGTAATTGCGAGGTACAGCACTCTTGGTGTGTAAGTTGACCTTTATTATGTGTTCGTGCTTTAGGCGCTGGCGACGCGACGTTGCATCACGCGGCACGTTCGTCGCGCGCACCACGGCGTCAAGGAAAACGCACGAGACAAGATCTGCCAGCAGTGTGGAAAAGCCTTTAGGGTCAGACTCAATTATTGGCTCGCATGTTCTATTTCATGGCAGCACTTCTCATGGCTACTTGTATTCGCTTTTGGGTGTTTGATGTACTTGGAAAGATATTTGACATACTTGCAAACGCTGACAAATATGACCGTCTCCACAGAGAGCCTAATCAGGAGATAAAATAATGAATATGGCCATAGTGTGGACGATTTACTTACGTATTTGCCTAATTGGCTCCCATCGAGTATATAACCAGACATAGAGAGGAAATGTCATTTGATTTGTTTGAAAACTATTCTGCCAAATCATTACGGTGACAACTGCGCTCTGATTGGCCAACCCGAATTCACTTCAAATCGACCAGTTTAATTTTAAAAGCTTTGCAATATTGAAAAATTACATATTTAATTACCGACGAAATGGGATTCCTGATGATGATGTTTTGCTGTTTTTCCCACACCACCGAATGGAACAGCCCCCATTGTTAAAGATATTATTATCTTTATTACAATAAATACAGAATATTTTTGGAATATACGGAGGCGTACACACAGGTCAGTTGTTGGCGCTGTACTATTTCAGTTTTCTTATTTGTGATTTCAGCGCAAACGTGAGTTGATATTTAAGACCTATTTGCCTGGTGAGTTGCCAGGGGTGGGTGGCCCTTATTTCGTCTCTATTTCTGGTTGTATACTCGGTGTTGGCTCCTTTGAAGTGCGTCGAGAAACTGACCAGAACGCGAATTTGGTATTTGCTGTGTTTGTCATCAAGGCAAATAGTTTGTCACACGTGCCATCTACACATGGTTATTGCCAATATATCATATATAAATACGCAAATACAAAATAGCCACGTGAAGTGCCACCATAATAAAGCTTGTTTAATTTTTTTTCTATAAGTTGGAAGCGCGCAAGTGAAGCCAACATGTCAGTACGTCATATACTTTTTTAATTGTCATAATTTTTTATGTATTTTTATTTACCCACAATCTCATTTATTTTCTTCCAAATTATTTCTCCTCAGTATTTTCCGTGAATAAGTTTCCCTGTTTTGCAGTGACACAACAGTGCAACTGTGCAATTAGACAATTACAATTAGACCAATTCCTGATCAAAAATTAGTTTTTTTAGCGTATCAACTTTTCTTTATGAAGTTAGCGTATATTGTAATATATATAGTTAATACTTGGATGAAAATGAAACTTTTTAACTAACGAAACGTAACTTTCAACTCAAAAGCAACACTGGATCTCATGTTTATGTCAAATATAATTAGAGTTGGGTTATGTGAAAAGTGTGTGTGTGTGTGGGTGTGGGTGTGGGGTGTGGGGTGTGGGGTGTGGGGCGTGGGGTGTGGGGTGTGGTGTTTGTAGTGTGTGGTGTGGTCCGTCAGTCCGTCGATCGGTCCGTCTGTCGGTCGGTCGGTCGGTCGGTCCGTCGGTCCGTCGGTCGGTCGGTCCGTCAGTCGGTCGGTCCGTCTGTCGGTCGGTCGGTCCGTCAGTCGGTCGGTCCGTCGGTCGGTCGGTCCGTCGGTCGGCCGGTCGGTCGGTCGGTGTGTCCGTCCGTCCGTCTGTCGGTCGGTCCGTCGGTCGTTCGGTGTGTCCGTCCGTCCGTCCGTCCGTGTGTCCGTCCGTCCGTCCGTGTGTCCGTCCGTCCGTCCGTCCGTCCGTCCGTGTGTCCGTCTGTCTGTGCGCGCGTGTGCTCGTGTGTGTATGTGTACGCGCGAGTGTGTCTGGGTGTGTGTGATTTGGATACATGTGTGTATGTGTGCATGTAAGTGTGTGTACCAGTAACGGATCATTATGTTTGTATCAGACTATTGGATGAAGCAACTTTTCCGTATCATCATAATTTAATTTTTGCAACCAGTTTGCCAACCTCTTCTTACATTCGAAATTAGTCAACTCAAAAATGTGAATCTCTCGATGAAGCTTATTGTAAAGAAAATATCCTAGGAAGTTGAAAAATCTGTGGCTAAAGGCAGTCCTCAGTCGGTCACAAGAGGCCACTATGCAATTTCGCCTATCAGAGCCACTGTCATAGGGTGTAAGGGTGTGTTGTCTCAACACCGTTCAAAGGACAAAAAGTTGCCTAACAGTAAGAACTTGACAAAAGTCATAAAGATCCATAGTAGGAAAATGGTATGGTTTGAAGCAGGCAACTTTTAGAATCACTCTTTGTGCTCGCTCCACAAGAATAAAATGAGTCCTAGCGGCCCCACCCCAGACGGAAATGCAATAGGTAAATAAGCTTTGTCCTAGAGCAAGGTATACCATTTTCATGATGTAGTAGGGGTCTGCTACATGACGGAGAGACTTGAAGATGTAAATGAGCTTCCGAATGCGCGCTGATAACAAATTAATATGCTGTCTAAAATTAAGATTTGAGTCAATCAGCACTCCAAGGTATTTTATACTATTTGTAATTTCTAAAAAGGTTGTTGATACTGAAACGTGTTTGGAGATGACGGGAATTTTGAGTCGTGAGTTATCAGGTATAGTATGGTTGCGGATTGAAAAAGGTACGCCTCTTCTGCATTAAGTGTGAGAAGATTGTCGTTGAGCCACCTCCTTACCACACTAAAACCAGCTTGTGCAGATTGATAGGTCTCATCCCAATCCGCACCAGAGAATATCAGCGCGGTGTCATCAGCGTATGAGAAAATTTTACAGTTCTGAAGCTGTAAATCACAAAGGTCATTGATATATACTAGGAACAGTGTGGGACCCAGAATGCTTCCTTGTGGAACTCCAAACGTAATGGGTTGGGCGTCGCTAGTATAGGCACCAATTTTTACATACTGAGTTCTCTCCGAGAGGTAGCTTCTAAATATATCAAACTGTGGTCCCCTCAGTCCCAGTGATTGCAGCTTATGTAATAGTCGGGGTATCGAAACCGTATTAAATGCCTTGGCCAGATCCAAGTTGATGACCACATGATCAACTAACTGATGTACAGCATCCGCAGTCGATCTACCCTTCCGAAATCCGAACTGGTTAACGGATAGAAGGTGAGTGGTTTAAAAAATTAACCAGGCTGTTGTAGAGAATGCGCTCAAGAATCTTTGACAAGGCTGATAAGACTGAGATGGGCCTATAGATGTTGAAACGGCCCCGATCCCCCGCCTTATATATAGGGTGTATAACCGCCGTTTTAAATTGTTCAGGAAAAACTCCTGTAGAGATACTGAGATTACAGATGTACGTGAGCGGCGGTATGATGAGGTTTTTGTATCGTCTTATAAGACTTCCAGAGATATCATCCCATCCCGTTGCACAATTCGCCTTTAGAGAGTTAATTAATTGCTCCACTTCACGATCATCTGTCTCCAGCATAGTAAACGATTTACCATTGAACCTCTCAGGCAGATTATAATTGGATCCCGAGTTCTGCATATTGGAGTGTGCCAAATTAGGGCCCACATTTACAAAGAAATGGTTCACCAAATCAACCGAATTTTGAGGTGAACTTCCTACTTGCAAAAGTAAATCAGCTATGTTTTTATGTTTGTTTACATTGGCAACTTTACCAATGACTTTCCACAGTCGCCTTCAACCTCTGCCAGCCTTTCTAATTTCTTCCCTTCCAAAGTCTCTTTTTGCGTTTTTTATGCGAGCGTTACAAAAATTTCAATACCTCTTATAAGAGAGTTTGAGCATTTCATCATTAGGATGTTTTTTTAGTTTCATATACAAATTGTCTCTATGCCTCATGCATTTTATAAGACCCGGGGTAATCCAAGGCTTCAGCGCTCTCCGCCTACGAGATACGTAATAGGATTTAGTGCATCTTTTAATGGCCAGACGAATAGGAAGAATCAATATCGAGTAGCAACGTTTACATCATTAGTGGAATATACTGTGTCAAAATCTATTTGATTGATGGCGTCATCTAGTTCAATAAAGTCGATCCTGGGATTTTTGCTACATGGAATTCGACTATTTGTTTCGCCTGAGAGTAGGACAGTGCAGTGGTCAGTAATTGTTGCATCTAAGACTAGCGTTGTGGCTGCAAGAGAGGTTCTCAATATAGTGTGGTCAATGCAAGTCCCGCTATCTTCTCGTGTAGTGAAAAAGTGATCGGGGTATAAACCATAATGAGCTAGGAGGTCTGGTGTCAAATTTATTTGGTGTGATATCGATATTTATATCTCCTAGAAAGTTGTCAATGCTAACAAAGGCGGGTGGTCTGTATATGGCTACCACAGCCAGTTGTGTACCAAATTTTATTAGCAGACAGTTAAAATCAGACACAGTTGGCTCTTCTACAGTAACATTGCTGTAGGCATTGTTAACATAGACCACAAGGCCGTCGTTTTGATTGTATAATTTTGACGATTTGTACATACTATAGCCAACACATTCGAGGTAACCGACAGCCAGCATTCAGCGAGTATTATCACATCGCAATGTATTGACACCCTTCGAAGTAAAGTTGTCAAGCTTGACATGTTAGCGTTTATGCTACGGATATTTTGGGAGAGGAAATTGAGCTTTTTAGAACCAGGTGTAATTAGTGTCGATCATTCTTCAGGTTTACAGAAATAAGATTCAAATATGGAAGTGCGGTCGATATTAGTTAATAGATTATTTGTGCGAGTCATTTTTTTAAAAGGGAATTAAAATATCAAAAACAGTTTGTATGTACAAAATATATATATTATGTATTTAAGGCAAAGATTGAAGTCCAACAGGCGAAACGAAATTTACAAAAAGAAGTCATATAAGTGGCAATTCATACGAGTATTAGACGTTACTGTAAAATCCTAGTGTATACAGCAGTAAGAGTGTGGTGGGTGTGAGTAATACGCGTGTTTGGCGTGTAATATGTGTAAGAGTGTAAGTAGAATGTATATAAAAGACAACATTGACATTTACGTTAAAAAATACTTCCAAGATTCCAAAAAATGAGCAGGGAAAGAATAAGCATGCAAATACCAACATGAATACGATGAGATAAATTAACATATCGTCTGCTTAAAGGTAAAACCACATAACTGACATTTTCCACAAAAAATCTCCAAGTTATGTCCCAGTTGTAAGAAATTCACCATCTTTCTGCAGATAAAACTATTATTAAGTTAGTAGCTTTTTTGTTATTGAGCTTAACGTGCAGAAAGATAGTGATTTTCTTACCATAGCTCATTGACTTACAAATAAATGGACGACGGGTCTAATACAAAAACCACGAAAAAAATGTCCCAAGTCAACCTATTTAAGCGTAGTGACATGTAAAGGAATATGAAAAAGCTAAAACGTTGAATTCAAATTGTAATGTCATCGCAGTACTGTCTAATTTTGCTTCCTTCGCTGCCAGTCGAACAAACGAAGACTAAAGCGTGAATGACGCTCTGTATACGATTTTAACGCCCTATAAGTTCGGACACTTTTTAGCGCGGACCCGACGTCCATATCATTGTAAGTCAATGCCATAGCTATATAAATTGAAGACTTTTTGTGGAAAATATCACTTATATGTTTTACCTTTAAACAGACGATGTTCTACCAGCATTTCTCTTTTCATTTTCTACATCAAACGTTGAAATTAGTGAACGAAAACGATTGAGCCATTAAAAGATTTTTTTCGCTGTTATGAAATCATGTTAAATCTTGTTTTTCTCTAAGTGCGTTCAGCTGTACAAGTTTATTTTATAATTCACTCTAAATAAAACTTCAAAACATTTTTTTAACGTAGAACGTACAATAAGCCTCTGATATATATTTTTTTAATTTTTCCAGTTTTTAGGGATTTTTTCCATCCACTATTTGAAATTTTTCGGAGAATTACTCAACAGTAAATGTAATACACAGCGTTTATATTTTCTGTTTATAGGACAAGAAAGGCCTCCGCGAACACGAATTCATCCACACCGGCGAACGGCCGCTTTCGTGCGAAATATGTGGACGCACCTTCAGACAGACGGCGTCTCTCTACACGCACAGAAAGAGAGTGCATCACGTGTATCCTATGAAAAAACAGGTTGAGCTGCTTGAAACCACTGAATCGCAGCAAAACAACGTTAGTTAGCAGTAAATTATTTATTGTAAATAAATCACCTATAATATTTTTTGTTTTACTCTATTGATCCACACGGAATCGCATTAAGGCGGTCAGAAAAAAGCTTTAAGAAATAGAAAATTATTTATTCCTTTAAAAAACAACACAGTACCTACATATGCATTTTATAAGAATAACATAAACATTTAGAGAAAGGACTAATTTACAAATAATAATTACATCTTTTTTTATAAAAAAAACTGACCTCAAAAGTTCGTGGAATGAATTTATCAAGTTTCAAGTCAAAATCGGTTCACAAATACCGTCTTAATCGCGTACAAAAAAAAAACCGGGCAAAAACCTCCTTTTTTGAAGTCGGTTAAAAATTTATTCAAATTATTTATGACCTGTCGATTGTATGAATCACCACCATAGATAATATTACAAGTGCTTCTATCATTTTTGCACTGCAAAGTAGCAAAATGGGGCATTTTCGAGGTTTTTTGTGTCAAGTAGGTATAATGTATTGTACAGCGTATAATACCATAGAATTGAAAAGGTAATAATTGATAATAAAACAACATTTATATCGTGTAAAGTAGGGAGGTTCTTTCGTCCGTTGGATGAGGTTACCAAAACAAGCCAAGTGAAACTCCAAATTGTTCAGAAGAATTTTATTTTCACCAATTTGTATGTCGCCAATACAATTTCACCCTATATGCGGAAGGTCCGGGCAGTTGTTCCCAAGAAGGGACTCACTCCTGGAAATCGTTCCGCGAGATGAGGTTTATTCACCCTATATGAGCGTACAAAATATCAGAAGATCCGGGTAGCAGTTCCCAAGTAGGAACTCAACCCCTGGTTGCCTTCATGAGCTCTCTGTATTCTCAGATTTCTCTTTCCATTAACAAAGTTGTGTTCGAGTAGTCACCATTCGAGGGAAAATCTTAACACCGCGATTCAGAAATAACGCCAAATGGGTCAATGCCATCTAGCGGATTCTTAGAGAACTAAAAGTGAACAATCTGGCTTAAGGCCGTCTATTACATAAAGTAGGTTTGTTACAATCGTATATTCTTTTGTTTTCAACGATTAAACAACAATTCTAAAAATAAATTCTCTTATGGAGCTATTCTTCAGCAATCTTAACTCCCAACGCAAATAGAGGGGAATTATTATTTTTTATTTATTAATTTAATTCAGGCCACGTGACCCATATAAAATATACCTTAAGGACTAACATATTTACAATATAATAAAACACTTTTTCTAATTAATTGGAATCCCGTGTCAGGTCCGGTTGGAAGAGCGGTAGCCACGTTGTGGCAACAGTCGCTGCTTTGAGTATAATCGTGTCAAAGGATTTTTTCTTTGTATTTAATAATAATAATAACTAACTATAGCATGAACCATAATCGGATGTCCAAATTATAAACAAAGAAATGTCAAAGTGTGAATGCAGGTGTGCTAAACCTTAGAATAATAACGCATAGAAACCTAGTCCGCACACGCTAAGTGAGGCAAATTGAAGCGCTCCCAAAGGGCATAGACGAGCGCGCGGGCCTTCAGTGCTCAAGGTTAACTTGCACCGCGAACAGCTCCAGAATTTTAGCTAAAAATGACGAAATGTGCGGTAAATGAGTGTAAAAATACGTCAGACAAACATAAAATAGATACTAACATCACATTCCACAAGGAAGTAATGCGTTTCAACTTGTATTTTTATATAAATATTCACTAAAACCGAAAATTAACCTACTACTAAAACTAGCCTACATGAATTTGATTTTTGCCTCACTTGTGACAGTTCGTTTGATATGAAACTATCATTCTATGCGTTATTATTCTAAGATAGACAACGTAATAATAGTAGATTGTACAACAAGTGCATAAAACGCGTCATTTCACCCGAGACGAGTATATGGATACTTAAGTCGAGGGCAAAATGGATTTTATGAACGAGAACTCTGCTTTTCACTTCGATTGCGAAAAAATTAAACAGCAATATTACAAATAGACGATTATTTAATTAAAATTGAATGTAAAATTACAACAATTAGACATAATAACAATAATAACGCAACACACTCATGGCCCCGCACTAGGGAAACCCTGTGTCGCGGGTGCCATGGAGACACACATAGACACCCACAAATGACACCCAAACTCGCAAGAGAAATAAATGCACGCCATACACATACTTCTCCCGGCCTGGGAATCGAACCCAGGACCTCTGCGTGGCAGTACGGCATGGTAACCATTCGGCCACGGAGGCAGTTTAATGACATTTAATTAAAAGACTGTAATTTTTCTTCAATAGTTTAATTTTCTGACATTTTAACGCGGGAAAGCGTTTTATTGTTACGTTACATTTTAAAAGAAAAAAGTTCTTGTTTTTAAGTTAGTGGCAAACGGAAGGACTTTTAGGTCAAGCCATTACACATTAGTCACATTAGTTAAAACAAAAATATTTACTAAACTGTACAGTAACAGGTATCTATAAATATATATTAAAATTTTATACATATAATGTGCATAAATAACTATGTTTACAGCGTACGTTTAACAGTGGGATAATTGGAAAATATTTTGTACTTTCAATTGAGTTTCTATGAAAATATATCTATGTATCTAATTAACATATTTTTTACTCGATTTGCCCTAATAAAGTAGGATATTATGTATATCACGATATTTTAGGGCGTGATTGTTCACAGACACTTACTAAAATATGGGAAAACATTTTTTGCCATGGGGAAATTACAATGAACATATTTTCATTGGAGAAATTCTAAAAATACTAACTATGGGAAATAGAAATGCACAAAATATTTTTTGCCATGGGCAAATTGCGATTAAACATATATTATTTTGGATAAATTGGGAAAATCTGTTGATTACAATGAACATATTTTCATTGGAGAAATTCTGAAAATACTAACTATGGGAAATAAAAATGCACAAAATATTTTTTGCCATGGGCAAATTGCGATTAAACATATATTATTTTGGATAAATTGGGAAAATCTGTTGGGAAGTTGCGCTAAATATTTTTTTATATGGGAAAATTGCATAAATCTTTTAATATGTGGTAAATGCGTTCAAACATTTCCCCGATTTCCCCATTGGTTTTAGTGATTTCCTTAAAGTAGGGAAATTACGAAAACCAATGGGGAAATCGGGAAAAACTAGCAATGGGGAAATTGCGAAAAAACATTTACTAAACGTAATTGCGAAAATCAGTAATGATATTCGCCATTTCGTTATTTTATATTCATTAATTTATTACGTAACTAACTAACTAACCACCCACATTTATCAACACCTGATTTTTTAAATTCTCATTCTTAACAGTTTTTTGTAATGACACTATTACGGCTAGAATCATAACCTATAATATCCTGATGTAATGAAATATACAATGATAGGTGAACTTGTTTAACCTTTCTCAGTCGGGTAAGCAGAGTCTACGGATCACTTGCCTTCCCACCGTTGTGTAGCAGCTTATTATGTGTATATAAGGCTGCGGAGTGAGCGAACGTAGCTGGGCAGTGTGCGCACTTTAAGGGACGTTCTCCAGTATGCGTGCGGACGTGCGAACGTAGGATGGCCAGAGTCTGTAAAAAAATTGTTAGTTTTACTTGAGTCTACCTAGCGATGGTGAATGCGGTGGGCAGGTGTCTAAAATCCCTCACTGAAGAATTTTTGACAACTCGGTAATTTGACCTGTGGCTCAGTTGGTAAGAGCAATGCTACGGTGCAGCAAGGCCGTGAGTTCAAGTCCCACCGGGCCGAAGAAGTTTTTCTATGTATTAGATCTTGTATTAATAATCAAATCAAAGAGTTATTTTCAATATGTATTTTAGACTCTTGCTTCACCCATGGCCTAAAAGTTTAATTTTGAATTTTTAAATGGGAGAAGCGTTACTCCTCGGCAATGGCACAGTCGGTCGGGGTTAGGAACTCAGGTTTAAGAGCGAATAATAAGTGCCGTACAAAGCAGGACCGCCTTCTGCATTTGTGCTGGAAGCGACACGTCACAGAAATCCAAATGCTTCAAGTTGTTGTTATTATTGGGGCAATGCCGCCGATATTAATAGAATCTTTGTCCAGCAGAAACGTGCTGTTAGGGCAATTTATAACCTGTATTTGCGAGATAAGTTTAAAGAGATTAACATTCTTACACTAACTTCACAGTACATTTATGAAAATGTTATTTATGTTAATTAATTTTTTTTTACGAGAAATAGTGACAGACATAACTTTAGTACGAGGAATAAAAATAAACTAACTGTTCTTGGCAGTAGTCTTCATAAAGTCTCAAATATATTTAAGGGCAATGTATACGCTTCTATAATAAGATTCCGGTTGATATTGAAAAATTGCCATTGACGAGGTTTAAAACTATTGTGAAACAAAAACTTCATACCAAGGGTAACATACAAGGTTAAAAGCTTAGAATAATAATGCATAGAAACCTAGTCCGCACACGCTAAGTGAGGCAAATTGAAGCGCGCCCAATGGGCCTACACGAGCGGGCGGGCCTTCAGTGCTCAAGGTCAACTTGCACCGCGAACAGATCAAGAATTTTAGATAAAAATGACGAAATGTGCGGTAAATGAGTGTAAAATACGTCAGACAAACATAAAATAGATACTAACATTACATTCCACAAGGAAGTAACGCCTTTCAACTTGTATTTTTATATAAATATTCACTAAAACCGAAAATTAACCTACTACTAAAACTAGCCTACATGAATTTGATTTTTGCCTCACTTGCGACAGTTCGTTTGATATGAAACTATCATTCTATGCGTTATTATTCTAAGGTTAAAAGGTTAAAATACAAGTTCTGCGTAGGTACTTGAATGACAAAAATCCGTGATAGTTTACAGTAACCTATTTAGCTCTTCCAGGTATTCTCGATGTAAGATATTTAAATTAAATATTGTAATGATAAATGTATTCAAATGTATATTTACAAAGAGCAACCTCTAGAGTTTCTTGCTCATCCCTCTTAGGGGAATCTGCCTTATGAATTAGAAGTAGAGTGTAATCAGCACGACAATTTAAAGTGTAATTTAAAAAAATGAAATCTAATACGATCGCCACTTATGGGATCGCTGGCCAGCACAACTTCTACCTCCGGCAAACTCGCTTCAAAGCTCAATGCAAAACAAAGCAGTTTCGAATTGACGATATATTAAGTAAACATTTTTATTTTCGTTTTATTAAAAATTTTTAATCAACCAGTCAATCAATGCAAATACTAGCCAATAAATGTAAAAACTTATAGATGCGACTCGCATTATATTTTTTTCTATAATGCATTGAGATTTGACCTCACTATTGTAATCTGTCAAAACGGCCATCATAACATGCCGGTAGTGTAGTACCTATTTTATTTAAGAGGTATAAAGCGATAAGGATAATGGCGGGTTTTTGAATTTACGAGTACAGTTTTTACAAAGATTATTTTTATTTTAAGTATATTATGAAGAAAAATTGAAGAAAGAAATAGTGATGAAGGAAGTTAGAACTATATTCCTTTTAAACCAAATTGCAAGAGACTTTATCCTGAAAATTACACTAATTACGAATTCAAAGTTATTGTTCAAAGTGTTATAAGATAATGTAATTTAAGTGAAAATAAAACTTAAATATTGACTCCCGCCGCTTAAAAGACTATTTAATAAACCCAAATAAGTGAACTAAGTTATTTAAGAGAAAGTGAAAACATAATGTATTAGAACTACAACGGAAAATATTACTGAGGATCCCGATAATTAAACGAAGACATGGCTCAACGGTCTTGTTTCCAAGCCAAAACTATTAATAAAAAAATGAAACGATATACGGTAAAACTTTAATAATAAAAAAAATCCTTATACAACTTACCGTAAAGCCTCGTCCACAATGGTCGCAAATTTTGTTTCTTGGCGGGCGTTTCTTCTCGTGAACATAAGTGCAATGTTTCCGTAAAGACGCTCCGTTTTTGAATACCTTTAAAAACAAAATATCGACTGTGAACTGGCAATCGGTACTATCTCACTTTTGACAACTTTACAGGATGAAGGAAAAAATTGTTTGCGTCATTTATATAGCATCTGATTTATTAAATAAAAATGAGTAGGTTTTAAATATTTTTATTACACATACGGTACGTCACTTGTCAAAATTGTGATAGTACCAATTGCCAGTTCACAGTCGATATTGCATTATTGATGTATTGCCTTCGAACTATGTAACTTGACATAGAAGAGCGCATTCGCAGGTCAGCTAAGATAAAATCATATGAAATATTCATCTCAGCCGAAGGACGTCCACTGCTGAACATAGACCTCCCCCAAAGAATACCTCAACGACCTGTCCTGCGCCGCTTGCATGCAGCGGATCGCCACAACCTTCACGAGATCATTAGTCCACCTCGAGGGTAGTCTGCCCACGCTGCGTCTTCCGGTACGCGGTCGCCACTCGAGAACTCTTCGGCCCCATCGGCCATCTGTTCTGCGAGCAATGTGCCTTGCCCATTCCCATTTAAGTTTTGCAATTCTTAGGGCTACGTCGTTTACTCTAGTTTCCTTACGGATATCCTCCTTACTGATTCGATTTCGCAACGAAACTTTGAGCATAGCCCTTTCCGAAGACCTTTGAGTGACCTTGAGCCATCTTATGAGGCCTATAGTGAGCGACCACGTCTCAGTGCCGTAAGTCATCACTGGCAACACACACTGGTCGAAGACTTTTGTCTTGAGACGCTGTGGTATTTTGGACAAGAGGATATAGCGTAATTTCCCGAACGTTGCCCAGTTAAGTAGGAGCCAAAAATTTGCAAATGTTATAATTATTAATACAAATATCGAACACTCAGAAAAAAATCGTTCGATCCGGCCGGGTTCGAACCGACGTCTTCTAGCATACCGTGCCAGACGCTATACCAACTAACCAACGGAACGAACCAGCGGACCTCACGAATTTCTCTGTGTGCTTGCGTTGTATCTTTGTATTTGGTTTTTCAACGACTTTTTAGCCGTAGCGCCATGAGAAATCTATGATATTTCGTCACCCAGTTAGATACCTTTACAGCTACCAGACCCTGCTGGAGATGTCCCTATTCATTATATTTAAATTTTTATTGAATTGATATTCCATTATTTTTATGTCAAATTGCTCCACTAGTTTGTTATAATTATTAATACAAAAATCGAACACTCAGAAAAAAATCATTCGATCCGGCCGGATTCGAACCGACGTCTTCTAGCATACCGTGCCAGACGCTATACCAACTAAGCAAATATTTTTGTCGCTCGACAACCGTGCAACTGCCCTCAAACACAGGGCTGAATTAATTTGAAATTTACCATGAGATTTTCGATGAAGGGAAACATCGTGAGGGAGGGAACCTGTACACATCTGCAATATGATTTCGTGGTATGTGTAACATTATCAATCTGCAAGGACCCGTAAAGGAAATACAGCCCAAGCCCTCTCATTGTGAGATCAGGCGTGCTCCCAGTTGTGGGACTATATGCAGGCTAACTATATAGACTTTTTTATAATACCAAGTGTCGGGACGAACAAGTCGTGCACCTGATGGTAAGCGACACGCCTGTCCATAACAGTTGCAGCCACTCGGAGCTTGAAATTGCAAAGATCTAACGGGCACTGCCACTGCGCCCGTCACCCTGAGACATAAGTTGACAAGTCCCATGTGCCTGTAATTTCACCAGCACTTACCCTTCAAAACCGGTCAAAAATGCTGACATTACTGCTTGGCAGCAGAAATAGGTAAGGCGGCAGTACTTTCCTGGACGAACTCTTTCACAAGGACCTCTACTGCTGCTATGGAAATAAAATGTCACTTTTGATGCTAAAATGTCGCCTAATTAAGTGACAAAGTCGCTAAGTTGGCAAAGCTGTTTATGCGATTGAAGCCCACTCAAAACAAGACCTAGAATTTAAGGCTGCCAACAGTGACTCACCTTCCTGCATTCAGAACATTCATGCTCCGACTTGTTGAGGTGTATGAAATCGATGTGCTCCCTTAGACTTGTTTTGCGAACGAATCTAGCTTGACAGGTGTTGCATTGGAACCTGTAATTTAATAAAATAACGGGACATCACAGGCCAGCAATAAAAATGGATCAGGAGAGCTGTGTTGAGAGGTCCAACAATCCTCTTTATCAGAAATGTTTGAGGGTCGTATTCCGCAGACTCGAGTATGATTTCAAGCACTGGAAATACGACCCTAATGGCAAGGACTTGAATATGATTTTCAGTGCTTTAAATCATACTCAAGTCATGACTTGAGCATTGAGTAGAGTTCTGGAATACGACCCTAAGAAGGCGATCACGCAATTGTCATCGAACGTCATAATTATGCTCTATCACACATTTAAACGAATAAGTAGTGTTGACACCTTGCCCAAGGAGGAAGTAGCTAATCTTAAGTAAAAAAGTAGCTAGATTCCAAGAAATTAATTCTGGGTAAAATTGCCTAAAGTGGCTAAACACAAACATACTTATGAGATTGTGTTTTTAAATACATATTTTTCTTAATTTTATAAATTACAAATCATTATCATCTTGTGATATTGAAGGTTAAGCTTCTTTTCGTTTTTTTTCCAAGTTTTTAATTTTCTTACTGAAAGAGCTAAAAGATTTAGCTACCAAATATTTTTTGTGGATAGCAAACTCACAAGTTAACAAACTGACAGCTACAAATGTCATTTTGAAAAAAAAAAGCCATAATATTTATGTAAATGATGTCTGGTTCAGTACTTAATAAACTTACTGAAAAAAATTTATCACAAAGAATACCTCCAGCTGAAGTTCCGGGAAGATTAAAAAAAATGTACACAATCGTGTTTAAACAGGGTTATTTTAAAAATTCTAACAACCTCGCAGGACTTTTTACTTTCGTTGTTGAAAATATTTAAATAGATTTCTCTAAATGGTATAACTCTGTGCAGGACGAAGTGGGAGTGGTCGCGGCTGACCCTTGCACGTCTGAACTTATTCTACCAAATAGATCTAAAAAGTGTCAGATAATACAACAAAAGCTTAAAAGTTTATTATAGGTAAATTTATGTTGTGTTATGTTTTGTAATGAGTCATTGAACAAAAGTTGTTGTTTATAATGTAAGATTGTTAGTATTTTAAAAATAACCTATATAATTACAAATTACAAAACGTTTGTTCTAAATTAAACATCAATAAGTAATATAGAATAAAATACCGAGTGCAGAGCGAGGTATTATTCGTTGATTTAAGTTTTCACGATTTTCACACATTATTTGATTTTAAAATCGGCACTTAATTGTGTATAAAACGTATTTTATTTAGCTCGACGTTTCGGACGTGTTGCAAACGTAACGTATTTTATTTAGCTCGACGTTTCGGACGTGTTGCAAACGTCCACGGCCTCGAAGGGACTAAACTAAAATTGTATGTTTTATACACGATTAAATCCCGGTTTTAAAATGGAATAAATAATCCGTTCTAACTAGATTTACTAAATAGATCGAATACTAAGAAAAATTTTATTCGGAACGAACTAGCGGACATCACGAATTTTTCTATGTGCTCGTTGCATATCTTGTTTTTAAGTATTTTTTCCGTAACGCCATCTGTGAAAAATCCATGAAAGTTTTTTCCACTCAGTCAGGTACCTTTACAGCTACCACTGTTTTTTCTTAGTGTTCGATCTTTGCATTAATAATTATTACAAACCAGTGGAGGAATTTCGCAAAAACAAGAAATATATTACGGTGGTCAAACGGTGGCCGGACATCGTGACATTCAATAAAGTTAAGAGCCGCAGGTTTTAAGCCACCTACCGCTTGTCGTGGTCCTGGATGTGGTTGGAGTGCGTCTTGAGGTGCGTGCGCAGGTTGGTCATGGTGCGGAAGTGCGTGTGGCACTGCGCGCAGTAGGCGCCCGACGGCGGCTCGTGCGCCGACACCGTGTGCGCCAGCAGCCCCGACTTGGCCGAGTACGTCTTGCCGCACAGCGCGCAGGCGTACGTGCGGCCCGACTGCTGGTGCACCGTGCTGCGCACAACCCGCTCTTACTGGCCGACTCAACGTCTGTGGTCCCGTTGCAATTTGAAGAAAATAGTCCACCTCTAAGGGTGGCCAACTAGAGCACGAATCCGGTTATTATATTATCCGGAAACTGATCTAATTCCACGAACTTTTGAGGTCTTTTCTTTATAAAAATGTTATGTTATTTACGCTACTGACTGCTCGTATAATTCGCTGGCCTTTCTGAGCAGAACGAGCAAGAAACTCCAGGGATTGCTCTTTTCAAATAAACTTAAACGCAATGGAATACTTTGAATCAAATTTGTCGGGAATCTAGACCCATGTTGTTTTTCCATATATCTTTATCTAATTTTTAACCGACATCAAAAAAAGGAGGAGGTTCTCAATTCGTCTGTATGTTTTTTTTTGTATGTACATTACGCGATAACTCCGCCATTTGTGAACTTGATGATTCTTTTTTTGTTGGAAAGAGGGTACCTCAGAAGTGGTCCCATTTAAATTTGAAGATAATATTCCACCTCTAAGGGTGGTAAACTAGGGGATTTTAACCGGAAGTTAGGTTATGTAATATGACTTTTCAATTAAAATGCTTTTAATGTAAGTTTTAAACGTAACGAATAAGTCGTGCGCCTGGTGGCAAGCGACATGCCTGTGTATGACAGTTGCAGTGTCACTCAGCGTTTTAAACAAACATGATGGGCCAAAAGCGCCCGTCACCCTGAGACATAAGTCGACTAGTCCCACCTATGTGACTGTAATTTCACACCCCTTACCCTTCAAAACCGGAACGCAGTAATGTGAACATTACTGCTTGGCGACAGAAATAGGTAACGTGGCAGTACTTCCTCGCACGAACTCTCTTAAATATTCAGTACTACACTCTTTAAAAAATTCCCGGCTTTGCCGTCCCATCAATGAGCTCTATGCGTTAATATACAGGGTGGAAATTTGTAATGCCACTTGGAAGGAAAATACCTTAAATATTGGAGATAGAAATTTTCACTTAAAGGAAACATTCCTTTATTTTTAAAACAAAATAATACTGCATTCAAAAATTTTCGAAAATTACCTTTAAAATTATCTTTAAAAAAATGCACCCTGTACTTTTATTAAATCAATCGATAGGGTCAATTATGAGGGTAAAATCTCTCTTACAAATCATGAAATCTGGAGTTATAAATTCAACGGGTCAAGTTAAATCGTCGAGATCACCAGATCTCACCCCTTTAGATTTTTTTTGTGGGGATATGTTAAAAATCAAATTTACCTTAAATCCTATGCGAGTGTCAACGAATTGAAGGCTGAGGTTCAGAATACGATTTGTAATACAATTCATCACAACACGTTATTATAAGTTACTCAAAAGGAATTCGTTAAAAGATTAAATTTGTGTATCCAAGAAAATGGAGTTCATTTCGAGCAACAAATTAGTTAGATTACCATTTTTTTCGTTTTGTTAAGATACGTTAAGATTTCATGTTTTTTTTTCATTTAATTAACCAATTTTGTGAGAGACATTTTATTCTTATAATTAACCCTATCGATCGATGCAATAAAAGTGCAGGGTGCATTTTTTTCAGATTAAAGCGGGTTCGATTCCCGCGTGTTGCTAGAAATTTTCGAAAATCTGTGAATGCAGTTTTATTTCTTTTAAAAAATCAAGAAATGTTTCCTTGAAGTATAAATTTCTATCTCCAGTATTTAGAGTGCTTTCCCTCCAGGTGGCATTACAAATTTCCACCCGCTATTCGAAATATAATAGACTGAAGACTTGGCTGTGTGGTTTTAAACTTTTGCCTATTCCTTAACGGAAAGAATTTTAAAAACAACAACAGCATATCTGATTTTGCATGACCTATATCAAAATATACTTATATTTTTATTTTATTACGGCCCAAAATGAAAATATGTGTTTACCAAAGTCTGGGGCGGGCTGAAAACCAATGTTCGCTCAGTGAATACTGAGGGTGTTCTCCAAACACAAATCATGTAGTTTTTTAAATATATATTCTATATATAATCTTATTTCCTCTTATTTTGTATTTTATGTGTGTGGAACAAATAATACTTACAGCATGTGAACCCTAAGTGCGGTCTTATTGACATAAGTGTTACCGCATTCAGAGCATTGTAATTTTTGCTGATGTCTGTGCTTTTCACGATGATAGCGGTACGCGCGGTCGGACCTGCAAATTACGAACGAAAAAGACTGCATTCTTATCATGTAGCGAGACTGATAAAGAGAATAAAGACTACCGTAGTATAATTAAGTAGTGTACGACAAGTCGCGTATTTGAACGTGTAATTTTTTTTTTCAGTCCATCGTCAAGTTCCAAAAACGCTTTTGCGCGCAGATTTTTCAGGAGAACGAAAGCCTTTCCGAGCTAGTGAGATGAAAAATATTTTTTGTTAATAAATGAACGCTTTCGTTGTACAATGAGAAATTAGCAGAGGTCTAGTTTTGATAGCTGTTTTTAAATTATTTTTGATACTAGTTTTGTTAGACAGTTGTTTTATTTGTATTGAAACATTTTTTTAGATGTGAAAGTTATTTGAATAAAGAACATAATTTTATATGTATTAAGTTTTCTGATGTGCACTTAAATGTTTCCCTTTTTAAACATCGAGTGAACACTATAGTACTGGCACGCTATGAGGGCCGTTTTGACGTTTACCCGCTCATCAAGTTTCGTGTTAGTTCTTAACAACGTTGAAGGAGCTGATTGATGTGCATTGTTGTCAGTAGTGACGTGCAGTAAAATTTATGCAATGTACAATTTTACGACACAACTCGGCATTTGTTTTTCAAAATTCGAAATTTTAAAAAATGAAATCCGATACGATCGTCACTTGTGAGATCGCTGGCCACCACAACTTCGTGCCTCCGGCAAACTCGCGTTTTGACGCAAACACATTATTAAACATTTTTATTTTCGTTTTATTAAAACTTTTTAATCAGCTACCCCTTGCAATACTAGTCAAAAATTTAAAAAAATGAAATCCAAAACTCGCGTTTTGACGCAAACACATTATTAAACATTTATATTTTCGTTTTATTAAAACTTTTTAATCAGCTACCCCTTGCAATACTAGTCATAAATTTAAAAACTTATAGAAGCACCTCGCATTTGATTATATTTTTTTCGATAATGAATTGAGATTTTATCTCACTATTGTAATCTGTCAAAATGGCCATCATAATGTGCTGGCATTGTAAATTCTAGAAACATACACGGCTAGTGGCGGGCGTGCACACATACAAGGCCCGCTGCTACGTTTGTACGGAGTTACCATATTTGTCTTATTATATTATGCCAAAACCAATTCAGAAAAATGTCAAGTGTCAGTTTTAAGAAGAATGTACACTCACTTGGCGACAAATCCACAATCTTGACAAGTGAACTGCACTTGAATATCGCCGCCATGTTGGTCATTGTAATGTTTAATTACGGCATGAACTGTGTTGTTGCGTTTTCCACACGCCGAGCATTCGTACCTGAAATATACCACTACTTTTTAGTCCCCGACGCAAAAAGATTGGAGTTAAATGTTCAAATATTAATTAATTACTATTTTCGATTTCCGGACTTTCGAAAATGGTTTTACTGCATGCATCGTAGGATAAAGCTACTGACCTAGGAAGTAAAAGTTGGATTTTAAAGTAATTCTAATGGTGCCATGTAAAAAAATGCGGTAGACAACTGACCTTTTACCAAAGCTGAGAATGAAAAAGTAACTTGCGCTGCTCTAACTCAACTACAGGTCAAGTTATCGAATAATCGAAATTCTTCTAAGTGCTTTTGTTGTAGATCATTGTACTGGACTTTACGGTATTTTCGGTTAACTTGACCTGTAGCTCAGTTGGTAGCAGCGCTAACGGTACAGCGTGGTCATGGGTTCAAGTTCCATCGGGTCGAAGAAATGTTTTCTTTATGTTCCATCTTTGTATTGCTAGCACCCAATATATAAAACATTTTGTGTGAAGTTGTTTTACCTATTAAAGGTTCTAAAATAAAGAACATCAATAAATAAATATCACCATGTATATTATACATATCACCATGTATATGTATGTATGTTTTATTGATGTTCTTTATTTTAATTTATATTATAATTTATGGTTTATACAACGGCGAAGCCGCAGTAACCTAATGGGTTGACCTACTGCCTCTCAAGGAGAGGGTTGTGGGTTCAAATCCGGTTTCGCACCTCTAAGTTTGTCGGTATTTACGTGCGAAATTTAATTTTAAATTTACCATGAGCTTTTGATGAAACCTGCATGTCCCCAACCCTCGCCTGCGGGGAGACCCGTGCCCAGCAGTAGGACGTATATGATGGCCGATGAACTACGGTCAAAGTGAAAATAAATTTACCTTCGATAATGTCGCTTGCAATGTTCCCTAAACGAAGAGTCTGTATTAAGCACCGACTGGCATACGCTGCAAGAGAAGCTGCCTTTTTTCTGAAAAAAAAAACACTAAAGGTGAACATAGACACGTACGCGCCATAAAAACTATTGTCATTTAATTTCGTTGCGGTAATGTCACAATTCGTGTTAGGAATGCAATTCGAAATTCAAAGTAAAAATTTGTACACGCCGCCGCGTTCCCATTATGTCGTAACGATATATAGTCATGCAATTTAAAGTGTTGTGGCTTGTATATTTAAATGAAATTGTTCACACATAATAAAACACGATCAACTGTCGTTCACGACGACAGACTGTCGTGACAATGGGAAGAGCTAGAATGACAGCCGCCAGACGATAAATAAATCGTCACGATAAAAATGTGACGACAGATAATCACAACTTTAAACGACTCTGTCGTGCAAACGACAAGGCGGCTGCCGTGAACCGATAAATTGTCGTCACGATCTGTTGAGAACAGATAGATGCGACAGTCGTTCAACGATAAAATAAACATTCACGACACAGTCACGACAAATAGTCGTGTTATGGGACCAAGCAAGACGCGACAGTCCGATAAATAAAAAACGTTACGACATAATGTGGAACGTGCCCTAATAGAGTCGCTTCGTGAGGTAGCTGCGCGGTGCGGGAGGAGTGACAGTTTACGTAACAGTTATGACGCGCTGCACACGGGATAATTTCAACAAGATTTATCTGACGATATTCAATAGCAATTTGATTGAAAAAAGTGCCTACCAAATGAGTAAATTGTTGTTATGTGAAACGATAATAAAAAGACTGTTTTATTGATAAATGAAATTAATAGACAAGCCATTTGGTACCTTTTCAATCAACTTGTTACTTGACTCAGTTAAGCGGTAGACCTGTAGTTGTAGAGAGTTTATCCAGGGAAGTACTGTTTGCCTATGTGAGCCTGCGTTACAGTTTTAAAGGATGCTGATGAAACTAGAGGCATATGGGACTTGATGTTGCAAGGTGACTGGCGCAGTGGCAGTGGCAGTTCCCTTCAGATCCTTGCGATTTAGAGCTCTAATTGGCACTGCAACTGTTATGGACAGGCGTATCACTTACCAGCAGGCGCACGACTTGTTTGTCCCGTCACTTGATATTATAAAAAAAATAAAAATACTACCTAGGTAATGAACCATTTTCTTGATTTTTAATTTCATTAATTTTATAAATTTAATGTCATTCACAAGAAAACTGCTGCTCTAACCAACTGAGTTACAGGTCAAGTTATCGAGTTGAAATTCTCCTATGTAAATTTTTATTGAATTGCTATTAAATTATTTTTATGTGATATTACTCCACTAGTTTGTTATAATTATTAATACAAAGATCGAACACAATGAATAGCGACATCTCTCATCTCTAGCCTGGGCTGGTAGCTGTAAAGGTATCTAACTGGGTGACGAAACATCATAGATTGATGGCGCTACGGCTAAAAAGTCGTTGAAAAACCAAACACAAATACGACGCAACAAAACGACAGAAAAATTCGTGAGGTCCGCTGGTTCGTTCCGTTGCTTAGTTGGTATAGCGACTGGCACGGTATGCTAGAAGACGTCGGTTCAAATCCGGCCGGATCGAAGGAATTTTTTCTGAGTGTTCGATCTTTGTATTAATAATTATAACAAACTAGTGGAGTAATTTGACATAAAAATAATGGAATATCAATTCAATAAAAATTTGAATATAATTAATAGCGACATCTCCAGCCGGGGCTGGTAGCTGTAAAGGCATCTAACTGGGTGACGAAATATCATAGATTTCTCATGGCGCTACGGCTAAAAAGTCGTTGAAAAACCAAATACAAAGATACAACGCAAGCACACAGAGAAATTCGTGAGGTCCGCTGGTTCTTTCCGTTGGTTAGTTGTGTTTTTGTTATAGACCTTTGAACTGGTTTATGGCATTCGGCGCCGCTAGTGACATCTAGTGAGAGATTTTAGAACCTTCTCACCGCAGCCGGTACCTTTACAGGTGCCTCAAGCTAACGTTAATGTCGCCTTTTGATCAAATAACTCCACTTGTTTTGTTATGATTATAGTTTAACTATAACAGTGGCAAAACTTTATGGCACAAACTTCGCGAGACCTATACTCAGTACTTGGTGAAATCATTCTGTGGATGATGATGAGTGTAACAAATTATATTATGTGAAATTTTATAACTATGGTTGCACCATCGATCAAACGCGGGCTAAATAAATCCACCCCCGGGCCTGCAAGGAGCACGCGGGGAGTTGGGGGGGTCACGCGAATGACGGAATTCGAGATTCTCGCCGCGCGCGGTTTGGGCACTGCGACTCGGAACGACGGCGGAACGAATTGTGCGCGCGAGTAGGTACCTACTTTTTCTTTAATACAATAAGTGTAATACAGTTCGCTAGTTTTAATCGACTGGATATACCCCTTGTAAGCGATAGGGCTCTAGTTCCCACTATATGATCCGGCTCGAAGGACCATATAGTGGGAACTAGAGCCCTATCGCTTACAAGGGGTATCCAACTATAACTCTCCTATTTATAAAGATTCTTCATTTTAAACTTCTCTTCTGAAAAGTTTTCATTTCGCAAATGTGTACTTATTCCAATAGGCCCTTACTTTAGTATGCCTTTTTTCCATATGATCCTTCACAGTCAATTCGTGGTCAAACCCCACTATGCAGTGCTCGCACTTGAACGGCAGTTTGAGGTAGCTCTCTTTCTGTCTATCAGCTTCTCTCTCTGCCGATAACTCGGTGCTTGTTAAGGTTATTACTGTAATTTTACCTGAAAATGTTTAGTTTATTTATTATTCAATAATGATGTTCTATCAGATTCTTAGGTTTTCGCGATTGTTACACATAGAAAATGAAACTATTTTTCCGGATTTAAATCGCGTATATTTGTTACAGATCCCATGGTCACGGTTGACTGAGGTGGTACAGACATTAATATTACATATAACTGGTTGATGACTGTATCACTTCAGTCAACCGTGACCATGGGACCTGTAAAGGGCCCGAAACGTTGGTTTGTTTGAAAAAACTAATATACGCGATTGAAATCCGGAAAAATAGTTTAATTTCCAATGATGTTTTATTTTCGTCTGTTGTGATTATCATCGGTGGAGGGGGAGGGTGAGGTGCGGGGCGAGAAGACAATCGGCAACAGTGGTTTTTTGTTTTAACTAATATCAAGTGACGGGACGAACAAGTCGCCTGATGTTAGGCTACACGCTTGTCCATAAAACTAGCAGTGCCACTCAGAGCTGCTTTAAATCGCAAAGATCTGAGGGGTCAACGTAAGTTGACAAGTCTCATATGCCTGTAATTTCACCAGCACCCTTACCCTTCAAGACCGGAACACAGTAAAGCTGGTGGTAAGGCTATAGAAAAAAGGCGATAGAAAAAAGCGATCGGGCGATTTGGCGATATTTAGGCTATTTTTTAAATAAGAAAACGTGATTTAAGGCTACTTAATAAAATGTCTCAATAATCTTAACAACTCGTTTTGGGGTTTGAATATTTCTACACGTGGGGAACAGGAATTCTTCTTTGATTTTTAGATATTTTAAATAATTAATATTGGCAACACTGACATGGGCGAATATCGGCTACTTGGCGAAAATAAATTGGCGAATTAACTTCGCAAAAGTCTGACAACATTCATCGGCAACGAGCGTCAGAACTCGCACAGTCGTCATGAAAGCGACTAGCGTATTCAAATACTACCTACTTCCGTGGCTTAAGAGGGAGCAGAGGAAAAATTCCTAATCTTCGATTTGATTTTAGAGGGGTATATCCATTTTAAAGTTAAAAATAAAATATTGTATGAGTAACTACACGATATATT